GCTGTAATAGTTTGGAGAAGCCTGAGAGAATTTCATGCTTAAATTACCAAAATTAAGCTTTGAAGAATGAATGCAGTTGAGTAGAAATTATCTGAGATGTGAGCAATGGCAATGAGCAAAGGCAAGTTCTGGACAAGAAACACGAATTTAGTTTATTTAAGACTATTATACCTTATAAATAGTAGAACAGAAGGGGAAAGGCAGGAAAAATGTACGAGCTCAGGAAGAGTCTTTGAAGCCAGGCAAAGGAGTTTGGGCTTATTTGGCAGGAAAGGGAGGGACAGTGAGAGCTCAGGATAGGGGGAGTAAAGTAATTAGAGCTGAGACTCAGGATAAACAATGCCACTTGCTTTTCCTCTTACCTACCTACTTCACAGAAACCTAAGTTAGAAGTTATCTCCAGGTGAATTACCCTGACCAGACCTGACCCTTCCAACACTAGCTCTGCTCCTGTATGGTTCTGCTACAAAGGGTTTCCTTCCTTGAAATCAAAACATTTATTCTGCTTTTCTTCTGCTCCAACTGTTTTTTTTTTTTAATTACTTGGACACTAGAGTTCTTGATTAAAACATTGACACTTTTCACTCCAAACTCACCTATCTCCAAAGTCAGAAGTAAAAATGCTCTTTTCCCGCAAATCCTCAAACCAGAAAATAGCCACCCCAGCATCACTATCACCCTCTGACTCTTCATTACATTAGGTTAGAAGGGCTGAGGCTCCTCATCAACTTTTGCTGATCCTCCTGCTTCATCGCTTTGCCCAATCCTGGACGTTCAGCCCCACCTGCATCATGACATTACCTTATTTGGAGAGACTGAAGGAGGATTTCATTTCCAGGTTTTCCATTAGGGCAAAGAAATTTGTAAATTACAGATTCAAGGGACAACTTGCTGAGCAATGAGCACCAATCTCTCTCTCTCTCTTTTTTTTTTTTGCCTTCTTCAACTGAGGAGAGAGCACAACTCTCTTTTGTTCTAATTTCCTTCTTTTCGTTCTTTTTTTTTTTTTTGGAGATGGAGTTTTGCTCTGTCCTCCCAGGCTGGAGTGCAGTGTCACAATGTCAGCTCACTGCAACCTCTGTTTCCTGGACTCAAGCAATCCTCCTGCCTCAGCTTCCCTGGAACTATAAGAGTGTGCCACCATGCCCGGCTAATTTTTTTGTATTTTTGTTAGAGACGGGGTTTCACCATATTGCCCAGGCTGTTCCTGAACTCCTGACCCAAGTGATCCAGTCGCCTTGGCCTCTCAAAGTGCTGGAATTACAGGCATGAGCCACCATGCCCCGCCTATGTTCTAATTTCCTTCTATTGTCCAGATGCCACAGTATGTATGAAGTGAAGCCTTCCTTATTCCCATAATCAATTAATTCTCCTTTCTCTACAATCTTTACCTCACTAGATTGTTTTATGGAGTGAGGTAGGGAATAAAATAACAAGAGCTTGCCTTTAACAAGTACCTACCAGAGAATAGGCATTTTGATAAGTGGCTGACAAGGATAATCTCATTTTACCTCATAACACTGAGGTAGATGCTGTTATTATCCCTGTTTTACAGATGGAGGAATGAAAGCCCAAGAAGATTAAGTTATTTGCCCAAGTTCCCACACACAGTTTGTAAGTGGTAGAACCACGATTTAATTAATTAATTAATTTTTGAGACAGAGTCTCACTCTGTCACCCAGGCTGGAGTGCGATCGTGTCTCACTGCAGCCTCGACCTCCTGGGTTCAGGAGATCCTCCTACTTCAGTGACCCCGGTAGTTGGGCCTATAGGTGCTCACCGCCACATGTGGCTAATTTAAAAATTTTTTGTAGAGGTCTTGGACTGCTGAGCTCAAGTGATCCTCCCACCTTGGCCTCCCAAATTGCTCGGATTACAGGTGTGAGCCACTGTGTCTACCCAGACGTCTTATTCTTACTAGCTTTGTATTATTCCGCCCTTTGAATTTTGAATGTACTTTCCTGTTGTCTATGAATTTTTCACACTGCTTTTCAGTTTACAATGCTCTTTTGTGTATATTATCTAACTCTTACCCAAGTCCCCTAAAGTTGCTATTAGTACTCATGTTTTCCAAATGAAGAAGCTGGTGAGTGCTCAGAGACACTGTATGATGAAGGCTAAAGGTCATTTGCTTAAAGATGTGGTGACCAGGCTGGGCAACATGGGGAAACCCCATCTCTACAAAAATAAACAAATAAATAAAAATAAAAAATAAAATTACCCCGGGGCCTGCTATCGCACGTCTGTAATCCCAGCTACTCAGGAGGCTGAGGCAGAAGAATCGCTTGAACCCAGGAGGCAGAGGTTCTGAGATCGTGCCACTGCACTGCAGTCTGGGCAACAGAGCAAGACTCAGACTCAAATAAATTGTTAAATAAATAAATTAGTGGTGGATCTAAAATAAGGGCAAGGTAAGACATTTGAAAAAGGAAGTAAGAAAGTAGTGGTGGAGCTAGAACTTAAATTCTGGTGTGCTAACTCCAAAGCTCACCCTTTCTTCACCGTGTTCCAGGGCTCCTCCCCTAGGGCCCTGCCTCTCCTCAATCAGAGGAGATTAGATCTCTACCATCAGTATACACCGCTCGGTCTTTGCACTCCCCCTTCACGGCTTGCACCTACGGCGCTTATTTATGGGTGGATGTATACTCGCTGCTTACACGGGCACCTCTCCCTTTAATACGAGCCTCCTGAAGGCAGGGGCAATAAGTCGGGTGGTTTGGAATTCCTTCGAGCGCCAGCACGGGGCCGGGGCCTGTACACAACTGATGTGAATGAAATGTAAGGAAAGCTTCGCGCTGCATCTCACGTCCTGAACACTGTATCGACAGGACAAGGCCGGGGTCATCGCTATACCCTTTCCAGCCTTCTGCACAAAGTAGGAGCTCCACATCATTAAACTTGAGTTTCTTGGCACCCAGGGACTAAGTCCAAAACGAAAAAAGAAAAAACAAACTAACAAACTTCAGTTTCCCCACTTTTCTCGGAACGTAAAGCGAAACGGGGAGGGACGGGCACGCAACTCGTCACCTGAAGGCTCAGCAGGGTCCTCAGGTGCTTCAACTGCCTGACGCGCAACAACAGTTGCTACCGGACGGCGACAACTCCAGTGGTTACCTGGACAACCCGCCACGCAGCCGCAGCGACAGCCACTGACGCTTCTGCGACCCGACAGCTACAAGCGTCGCAAGGTCACATGTCGCTTTGCGGCGAATCAAACAGAAGGTGTACAGGCGCAGTGACATCTGGGGCGGGCCCTTGAGAGGGCTTGATGAATGCTGTTCTTGACCAATCCTGTCGCCGCATGCAAACCCAAGATTAAGCCCCGCCCACAAGCCTTCGGCCAGCCCTGGGTCCTAAGTCATCGCGGTCCGTCTTGCTGTTTGTCATACCTGACTGTTGCTGAGTGCACTCTTTTAATCTTCAAAACCCTGGAGAAAAGCAGGGCGGTTGCTATGATAGGCCTTTTGCAGTTGCCGGAATTGTGCCCAAATAGGTTAGTTACATGACTTGCACGAGATCGCAAGGCTAATAACAATAGCTAACCATTGATGCTCAGTATGTGCCTGCCAGGTACTGTGCAAACTGTTATAAATGCATTTATGTCATTTAATCCCAAAACCGCCTTTTGAAGGGGGTAGCGTTATTATTAGTCTCATTTTACAGAACAGGAGACTCAGGGCACTTGCTCAAACTAACACAGTCAGCAAAGGACTTGGAACTGGAATTCAACCCAGAGTTGGTAGCTTTAAACACCTTTTATTTTCCTTCTCATCTCCTAGCTCGCTCTCTCCATGCCATGATACTATAACCTGCGACACTCCCATCCCAATAAATGATGATATTTATTCTCAGAATCTGAGAGATGAGTGTTTTCGAACCAGCTGCCAGAGAAATGTAAGGTACCCTACTTCCAAATTGGGTAATGGTGGGTTAAAGACTGTTGTTTACATTGGAATGCTTTTAGGGTTCAGTATTGAGGGCAGACCAGACTTGGCTCACCTGATAGTTGTCTTGTGATACCTGGGGTTGGAGATTGGTTAAGTAGAAAAGATACTGACTTGTTGATCTTTGTTTGGATTGGAGTTCCTTTCCAGATTTTTGGCCTATCTTCTAACATACCAGAGATATTGAAATGCAGAAAAGGAGTTACTCATAAGCCTCTCTGAAATGACCCAAAGCTGGGAAGATCTGTGACTCTCCAGAAAGTGTAGTATATGCTCTCTAGAGAGATTGTGGGTCCAGAAACCTTCCCCCACAGTGGCTGTAAATGTCAACAGGGGTTTGTCTCATGGCCACCAACCACTCCTTGGAAAATAGGAAAGAGTAGAGGACAGCCCCTATTTTCACGGGAAACAAGTAGGCTTCAGAGCTCAAATGATAATTCTTTTGACAGGGGAGTCCCAACCCCTCAGTTTTATTTTCAGAATCCTCCTCTGGATATGGTGGCAGAGCATGAACATAAACTCATTTATGATTTACACTTATTATTGACTTTGACTAAACAGAGGCAGAGCAGAAAGGGAATGCAAAGGAGGGAGGAACAGACACAGGAACACATAGGATAGGAGCATGTGGCACCAGGAATCCATGAGTGTAGCTGTCCTTTCAATAGTCCCCAAGACACTGCTTAGTCCTTTTCTGACCATTAGCCCAGGGTTGATGGAGGAGTCAGAAGAATAAGTGGTGAGGAGCTGTGCTGTTGATGCAAGCAGTGAAGATTAAAAAGCTACGGCCCTCTCCTTTGATATGCCTTAGTTTCCAGTGGTCCTGGAACTTACATCTTTCTCTTATCTTTTTCCCCTTCTCACCCAACAAAGCAACAGAATCTGGGGTTCTAGTTTTCTACACCTCTTCTTCCTGGTCCCTATCCCAAGGTGGAGTATTTTTACACCTTGCAATGAGAATCTGCTCCTGTCAAGTAGGTGGTGATGTGAGGGGCCCTTGGAGGGTCAGGAGAGAGACGAGGTGAGGAAATGTCTTCGGCATACTATATAGTCAGCTCCAGTTTGTCCAAGAACCTTTATTGGAAAAATGTGCAAGGAGTGAGATCACTGGCAGCTGAAGGGGCTGCCAGGTGAGAGGGGGAGCACCTGAGGCTCCATGGAAGACATTGGAGTAGTGCAGCGCAGCATCTGCCTCTAGGGTGCGACAATTCCTTTTGTTTGCTGGGGAAAGAGGAGTACCCACAGAAACACCCCTCTCTGAGGCCCAGAGGCAAGATGTGGGGGCAGCTGGGCATGCTGAGAGTCCTGATACAGGTGGAATGGGCCCCCCATTTGGGACCTAATGGGTTAGGGTAGAACAAGTGACTCTCCCCTGGACCAGGGGATGGGAGGAGATATCCCATCTGATATCCGCTCCCCAGGTCCAGGGGCACAGACTTTTAACAGACCTACCTTCTGGCTCTCTCACAGTGGAAAGAGAATGGGTACCAGGCCTGAGATTGGGAGACTGTCATTACCTTCTGGGAGTCTCAGGGAGATCACCATCTTGGACTTTCCTTGGCCCCACCCCCATCCCCAATTTGTTAGTGCATCTCTCTTCTGGGTGTGTTTCTTCACTCAAACGTCAATGGTGTTGACGGATGGTGACTTTTTCTGTGAAAGGAAATGGACTGAGTCTCAATTTCAGGAAGGTAATAGGTGCCACCCTTTCTCTCCATCCTCCCCCAGCCCAGGTCTTCCATTTTCATCTTTTTCTGCCCCTCTTTGACTTTATTCCTTTTCCTGGCTGTCCCTCAGGGGCAAAAGCACCCTTTCTGCCCTCACTGGTCCCCACATCACCTGTCTTGTCCCCACTGGCCTTCCCTGAGGACTCTGTTCCGGTCCCTTTCCCTTCTTCTTGGGATTGTTGGTGGAGTTGTTGTCCTTGATGATGTCATACTGATGGCAGAACAGCCCAATTACAGCTGAAACACAATACAGTCTGAGCTTTCATCTCCCCCAACAGGGAGATACCCACATAGCTTCTAGAAAAATCCATGAAGAACATCCTGAATTCCTGGTGCCCATAGCAGTCCTCCTCTCTGGGCTCTCAACAGCCTCCTCTCCCTCTCTTCAAACTAACGAATCATCCCTCCTCAACTAAGTATCTCCCCACTCCATTTCTTTCACTTCTCTTTTTTTTTTCTTTGAGACAGAGTCTCGCTCTGTCACCCAGGCTGGGGTGCAGTGGCGTGATCTCGGCTCACTGCAACTTTCACCCCTGAGTTCAAGCGATTCTCCTGCCTCACCCTCCCGAGTAGCTGGGGTTAAAGGCGTCCTCCACCACATCCCGGTAATTTTTGTATTTTTACTAGAGACAGGGTTTCACCATGTTGGCCAGGCTGGTCTCAAACTCCTGACCTCAGGTGATCTGCCTGCCTCAGCCTCCCAAAGTGCTGGGATTACAGGCATGAGCCACGTGACTGGCCCATTTCTCTCACTTTTTCTCCTGACAACCTTTGCCACCTCCCACCTTAAGTGAGTCCCTGGTCCCGTCTAGCTGCTTACTCACCAGCCCACATGAGCAACACCACCACAATGATGACCACTTCCCCAGTCTGCAGTGGTCGCTCTCCATCAAAACCCTCCCTTGTGATGTCACCTGAGAAGGGAGAAGGCAGACTTCAGGTTACTGGGGAATAGCTCTCTGCGCAGACATATGCAGGATGGAGATGCTGGGGATTAGAGAGGGCAGACCCATCGTAATGTTGCCCTTGGAGTGTAGAGTAGCCCCTCCGTGGGAGGAAGCCATTGGTGGACAGGTGGTTAGCGACTAAAAAGCAGATGGCTGCAGGTTAATTACTCACTCATGCAGGCTGCAGCTGATGTGAAGTTGGGTAACAGGAAGCTTAGAAGCCCTTCCCCCAGAACAACTCAATACCAGCCTGTCTATACCCAGTCCCCTTCCCACCTGCTTTTCCTTCCTTTCCTGGTAGTACAATGAATTAAATCATCCTATTCATCTCAGCTGGATTGTTACTTGTCTTGGGGAAGTAAGAAAGAGGCTGCAAGCCGGGTAAGCAGCCAGAGAATCCAATAGCACAGACCCTCACCTGGGCCTGGGCTGTTTGAAGTTAGCCAGTCAGAACCCTTGAGAGTTCGGAAGTGCACCCGGGGCCCTGGGGGGCTCTCTCCTCGAAGGCCGATGCTCCTGACCTGCACTGTGTAGTCACTGTCTTCAGCCAGGCCCCAGAGGGCACCAGCCCGGGTGGTGGTGTTCACCTCCCGAACCACACGCTGCCCGGGGCCATTCTTCCGCTGCAGGGAGATGAGGGGAGAGGAGACCAGCCTCAACCCAGTGCCAGGCCACAAGGCTCAACCGAGACTCTTCAACATCCAAGCACTCCGGGGGAGTAGCGTGAAAAGGGCAGCCTGAGCCAGGATAGCCTGCTTCCAGATCCCCCACCTAAGTGAAGGAATGTGCAGAAATCCAAGGACACAGGTTGGGGGAGCAGAAGGGTGATTCATACTTGCTGGGAAATGGAGTAGCCAATGACGATGTTGCCCTCTGGGACGTCCCAGGACACAGTGGCCGAGTTGGCTCTGAGGTGAGTGACCGTCACATTCACAGGAGAGGGAGGCCGGTCTGCAGGAGCCAGAGTGTTAACAGGTTCACCCACTGACTAGCTCTGGTGGACCCTCAGCCCAGTTCCCCTTTACTCACCTACTGGCACGAACCCAGGTCACAGTTGACCAACAGGAGGACCGTGGGGCTTAGATATGGGGAAAGGGGCATTAGCGAAGCCATGTCCCCACCGAGTCTGCTGGCGGGGCACTGGGGCATCCGCTTGACATCCAGCCGGGGCTCCTGGAGGTGGCAGGAGTTGTGGGAGGTCAAGGACTGCCCAGAACTCCTGGGGATCGGGTGCGGGGGGCAGCACCTCTCCTGGGCTCCCCACAGCTCGCAACAGCCCTATTCCCCCCCGCCCCACCCTCCCGCCCCTGCATTGCCTGGGCGCCCCCAGAGCGCGGTCAGCCCTGCCCACACCGACTTCCACCGGTCCTCGGGATCGATCAGACCTCCGGGGGCTGCTCGGTGCCCAGAGGGCGGCCCATTCCCCGACTCGGTGGCGCTGTCCCTACCCCATCCTGACGCGGGCCCGGCGAGGCAGGCAGCGCGGGGCCGAGCTGCGGGCGGAGCAGGCGCGGTCTGCGGAGCGCCCAGAGCTCGGGCGGCGGGGGGAATCTGTCCCTGAGCAGGGGGCGTTGCCCCACGCTGGCCTGGGTCAACGGTGCGGGAGGCAGTGCGGCGGCCTCCGCCCGCCCCTGCAGCGGAATGTGACCGTCCCGGAGAGCCAGCCGCCTTCTGCTATGCTGGCCCCTCTTGCTCCGCCGGAGACCCACTGGGACGCGCGGGCCCGCCCCACCCCGTCCCGCCGGGGTTCTGGCCGCCGTCATTCCCCTCTAGCCCCCCACCCCCGTCCTTTCCGGGCTCCTCCCACGACCCTCCCAATGGCGCCTCCGGGGCCCCGATCCCTTAGCCCTTCTCTCTCCCAGCTCATGCGGCGGAGCCGGCGGGGGCATGGAGGGAGGCTCGGGTGCGAGGGTCTCCGGCACCTGGGAGATCCCCTTCCTCCCTGCATGGAAGAGCCAAGTTGGCAGGAGGAATTCCACCTCCAGTGCCAGAGGGGCTAAGAGGAGAGGGAACAGAGTGATAGAGATAATAATTGCTTTAACAATCCCTTACTTATAGACTGGGTCAGCTTTTAAGTCTCTTTCCCATTCATAATCTGATTTAATTCCGTTCGCTTTCTCATTCATTCTTTTCATTTAGTCAGCAAATGTTTATTGAGCATCTCTTATGTGTCTGGTTAAAACCTGGAGACACAGAGATTAAGAGTGTTGAGCTTCTAGGGAGAATTAAAGCTCAGAGACCTATGGCTTTTTTAAAAAAATTGTTATTCCTTTCTTTGTGTCTTTTTTGTTTGTTTTGTATTGTATTGTTTTTGTTTTTCTAAAGCTCTGCCACTTACCCTGTGGTTTTGGAGAAACAGGTTTATCTGTGCCGCAGATTTCCCACCTGTAAAGCAAAGCAAGTGAAACCTCAGGGTTGTTGTGAGGCTCAGATGAGACAACGTTGGGGAGAGATCTTTATAAATCTCACAACACCATGTGAATAGATGGTGATTGTAAATTTGCACCAATGTTTTGGTTACTTCCTTTGTTCAATAAGCATGTAAGCCCTTAAAGTATTTCATGCTTTGGTTGAGCTTGAAATCTGGAATGAGAACCTGGGTGTGAGTCCCGATTTGTCCAGCTGTGTGATGTTAAGCAACCAACTCAACTACTCTGTGCCTGTTTCATCATCTGACAAATGAAGGTGTCAATATTGACCGTCTTAGTGTTGGTGTATCCCATGAGATATTGTCTGTGAAAAGTGTGTTGTTCAGTGTAAACAGATGCTGGCTAGCATTGTGTTTAGGGCAGATTCTTTGGTTTCTAATTCTCCATGCAGTATTCCTGTCTCTGTGGCATTTTTCCAGCTGTAATGTCCAGTACAGTGTGTGCACACTTGGGGCTCAGAAGCTTCTGCTGCCTTCCTTTCTGAGAGGAGACGGTAAAATGGGACCAGTGGGACTTTGCCTGTGGAGCATGTGATCAAGTCATGGGCCAGGTCCTCTGACATCTGCTGACCTGGCCACTCTGATCTCTGGCCTTGGAGGACACCTGCCCAGGGATTCTCACTGCCCTGGGTGTTGTCCTGCACTCCCAGGCTCTAGGTCCTCCGGAGAAGAGGGCATTGTCCCTGTAGAGCAAGAGTCAGGAGCCTCAGGTCTTCCCCTTCAGGGGCCAAAGCAGAGGCTGCAGAGTCAGGGTGCATGCAAAGAGGAGTTTCCCTGAGGTTACCAGAGGGCTGGGGGCCTAGTGATCAGGGAAGGGTGGTGCAGGCGGTGGTACAGGGAATAGTGCTCTGAGAGCCCAGGGTGCTTCAGTTAATCATCACTGTGGCTCAGATAAGGCCCTGCCAACTGGAAGCAGAGTCACTGTGACCAGAGGGGTTCATGTGGCTGAAGAGGCAGGCAGAACAGTGTATCCACAGCGCAGGACCATGCCAGCCACAAAATGGTTTCAACATGTCTTTGAGACCCTGGAGCCTGGCCAGTGGGAGGTGAGACCCCTTCTCCATGCTGGCTTTCCGTGCTGATTCCTAAAATTATTTTTCATCCAGTCTTCCATCTGCCCTGGGTTTCTGCTCATCTCTTTTTCCTTCCTGATGTTCTTTCCCTAATATGCCCAGAGTAGCAAGTGCAGGCTGAATTTCTGGTGTGGTGTGTGTGTGTGTGTGTGTGTGTGTGTGTGTATGAGAGTCCAAACTCTGTGCCTGCTGCCACTCCCACCTCCAGCTCAGCAGGCATGAATGAGGCCGTGGCTTCCTGCTCCCTCCTTGTCCCCTCTTCCTTCTAGTTGTCTGGGTATGAGACAGCTGTGCCAATCACAGAGAAGTCAAATCCACTGACCCGGGACCTAGACAAAGCAGATACTGAGAAAATTGTTCGAATGCTGGGGCAATGTGATGCTGAGATCTTCCAGGAGGAAGGGCAAGCTCTGCCCACATACCAGGTAACCCAGACCCATGCCCTGCACCCTGCAAATAAACATGCCAATCCCAATCCCACCTCTGCCCTCCCTGACCATGGCTCCTAACATTGGAAACCCTGAGACCCCCTCCCCCATCCACCGTCCTCCTCGTCTTGGCTTCTGATTCCTGCCTGTCCCCTACAGAGGCTCTACAAAGAATCCATTCTGACCACCATGGTACACGTGGCCGGGAAAGTTCAGGAAGTGCTGAAGGTACAACCTTCCTTCTGCTCCCTGCCTCAACTTTTCTGTTTCCCTCTTTCTCTTTCGTTGGTCTCTATTTCTCACTTTTACAGATCTCATCCTCCTTTCTCCCTTTTGAAGATCCTCCCTTTTGGATCCTTATTTTTATCTTATTATTAATAATAATTCTCGCTTAACACTTTGTAATTGACAGTCTACTTTCACAGCTATTACCTCACAAAAACCGGTGAAGTTGACATGATTTCTGTTTGTTGTTTTTATCAGATGAAAAAACAAAGACTTAGAAAGATAATCACTGTAGCTTGTCAAATACACCCAGCTAATAATTGCTGGATAACGCTGCTTTTATTTAGATGACAAAGCTGCTTTCCATTCTTTCGGGGATAAGTAAGGATTTGAATCAGTAGTGGAGCAAGACCTGGGAGTCAAACTGGTTTCTCTAATCCGGTGTTCTTTTTCTACACTACACTGCATGTATGTGTTCACTTTTGTGATGAGAGGAGGGATAAGGAGCCTTTTCAGTTCCTCTTGCATTACTGACAAAGAATATGCTTCCCCCAACCTAAGCCAGGCCCTGGTGATATACGCCTTTTTCCTTCTTCAGGAGCCAGATGGGGGGCTGGTTGTATTGAGTGGAGGGGGCACCTCTGGCCGGATGGCATTCCTCATGTTGGTGAGCACCCTGGTCCCTGGTTTCCTTCCCTCTCCACTTTTTGAGGTGACCCTCAGGACCATAGAGATCACCATAACTGAGCTCCCAGGGCCCCCCCCCGCCACTAGACCAAGCGTGGCTCTCTCTCTCTTCCAAAAGCTAGGTGTCACCATGAAGTCCCATTTCTTCTGAGCCCATCTGAGTCCCACCAGTCTGATTGTCAATGTCTCTACATCCCATGCACTGCCAACTAATCATCCCCAAGTGGCGGCTTTAAGCGCCAGATTCCATGTAGGACTGGGTTAAGCACTGGTCTAAGAGAATCGTTATATAGTCTCTGTCCTCTAGGAGTTGAAAATCCAAGATAATTGTTTCTTCTCTGTCATTACCCCTTCACATCATCTCTCCTTGACAGGTGTCCTTTAATCAGCTGATGAAAGGTCTGGGACAGAAACCTCTTTACACCTACCTCATTGCAGGGGGTGACAGGTAAGCCAAGTTAGGCTGTGAATATTTTGTTTGGCCTGAATAGCGCTTCTTAGAAATTGAGCTGAATGCCTTTGGGCAGAGATTGAGTCCAGCTTGCCTTAGTCCCCCATTCCTTATTGCCTTACACTTGGTCCACTTTACATACTTATGTCACCTGACCGGCTGTTGCAGGTATTTGGGTTATTTGGGTTTTTCAACTCTGTGGAGTGTCTATCATGGTGCCCAACAAACAGTGGGCGCTCATTCAATGATAGTTTTCCCTTTATTCCCATCTCTTAATGTAGCCTGCCCTAATAAACCATAGGCTTCTTCTTCCCAACCAGTGCCACTGACCTCGCGTCTGTCCTCTTCGGTCTGTGGTGGCCTCTAGGGAGGGGATGGAAGATAGTGCCTTGCACGGGATCGAGGAACTGAAGAAGGTCTGTGCTTCCCACTGATACTTGACCAGAGACCTCTATCTGTTCCTTCTCATGGGGACATAAAAGCCCCAGCATTCAGCCAAAGCCTATTCCCTCCCTCCCCTGTTCCTGGCCCTGATACCCTCACACACTACGTTTGTGCCTGGAATACTCCCAGTTACACTGCGTTGTCCATCCTCCTCTCCCAAGTGACTGTCGGGAAGAAGAGGGTGATTGTCGTTGGCATTTCTGTGGGACTCTCTGTGAGTAGAAAGATGGGTTGAGTGGATGAATTTTAGAGAGAAGAAGTGAGTGGGAATGGAATAGCATGGAAGAGAGATCAATGAGGTGGGTGCTAGAAAACAGGAAGTTTGCTCAAGGAATTTTGGTTTTCATTTCACTAACTTGAATTGATTTGTATGAATGTGGGAAGATGGGGAGGGATTGTATTTAAATCAATCAGCAACCAAGAGATATGGACTGGTCCATGGGTAAGCAAAGTATACCGGCTGGCCAATGCAGCCAGCTGCCTGTTTTAAAAAAAAATTTTTTTTTTTTGAGACAGAGTCTCGCTCTGTCACCCAGGCTGCAGTCCAATGGTGTGATCTCATCTCGCTGCAGCCTCCACCTCCCATGCTCAGATGTGGTTCTGTGCATGAGCTGCCTGGGGAATGTTACAAAAAAATAGAGAAGATTCTTAGTTCCTTGTGAGAGGTCTGGTTTTGTAGGTTTGGAGTAAGGCCCTGAAGTATCTATTTTTTGAAAGCATCCCTGGAGATTCTGATGCACAGCCAGGTTTGGGAAACTCTGCTAAATAAACCATTGGAGTGGGCCACCTGACAAAGCTGAGGGCTTCCTGACACGAGAGGGATGCGGCAGAGGCTTGTTGATGATTTTAGAGCAGCTTTTTGTATTTAGCGGTGGTCTTGGAAAGGGGGACAAGAGGGTTTTTTGAAGGTGCTTTTCCATCTCCCAGGTTCTAGGCTGTATAACTCATGTGAAGGTGTAAATGAATCTGAAATATCCTAACTGATCCTTTTCATGGAGGGCCCTCCTTCACCAAAAATGTATCTGCTGCAGTGGATGCTATGTCAGGCCCTATGACTAAGTGAAATGAAGAATTTCAAACAGTGTAGGCGTGGAGATCTTCCAGTTGTTCCTTAAATCAGTGGCTCCCAAACTTGGCTGATTTTCAGTCATCTGGGAAGCTTTCTAAAAATACGAATTTTGGGCTCCACTCCATAACAACTGAATCTGAATCTTAGGGTGGATGTGGTACCCAGAAATGGATAGTTATTAAAAAACAAAACTCCCCAGATGATTTGGATGCCCAGCTGTGTTTAGGAATCTAGATGTTAAACCATGCAATATGAACCCTGTCTCTGGTTTCTGCTTTGGTCTCCTCTTTCTTAGATCTCTAGCAAGTTTCAGAAATAGTTTGAGGACAAATGACAGAAGACAGTTTACACAACGAGCATGAAATATGTAAAACTCGTCTGCCCTGGAAGTGATACAAAAATAGTTCAAGAAGGGATAAAATGTTTGCAGGAAGGGATGATAAGGTGAAATTTGAGGTACCATGAAATGCACCCCAATGAAATGTAAATTTTGGGTGCTTTTACATTTCATTGCCATGTACAGAGGTCACAGTCTTGGAGGTCCTGCCATAATGGGCGATTCACAAATTATCCCCTAGCAAAGCCATTAGAAATCAACTAAAGAAGATCCTCATTCATTGAGATTCCATGATTTGTAACTAAGCAGATAACAAGTCTGCCTCATTAACACATTCATTTGTTCCTGATTAATTCATTCAAGGAACGTTTGACAACCGTGAGGTGCTACACCTACCTTGCAGCTTGGTTCCCTCACCATCATCCCTCCCTCCATTACTAGGGGTTCACTCTTTGGAGGGATTTCCAGAATGTATTTCCATGAATGGCAAGGGCTTCTGATGAACCTTAAGATGGAAAATAAGGTGGCAACTTTGACATTTGAATGACAGGCATTCCCTAAGGGGCCTGCAGAGGGCGAGGTTTTTGTGGCCATGGCATTGGGGCTTATGCAAGACAGTCTGGGTCTCAGGCTGGAACTTTAAACTTGAGTGTTGGCTTTGCTCTGGGCTTGAGGTGCTGAATGTTTTATTAACCCCCGTCCTTGGGGTTCAGGGACACAGTGCCTCTAAAAGCTCCAAAGCATACGTTTATGTGAAGTTGTCGACCTCTGACCTCAATCCCAAAGCAGTCCTTGATCATGACTCCCAGCTGAGGCCCTTCTTTGAAATTCTCATAGACAATCTCCCCACCTTGTGTCACTCTGGACCCCAGAAATGACCCCATTGAAGACTGGAGTTCAACATTCCGACAAGTGGCAGAGCGGATGCAGAAAATGCAGCAGAAACAGAAAGCTTTTGTGCTCAATCCTGCCATCGGGGTAGGGCTTCTCCTTTTCCTATGTTCTCCAACCCCCCAACACCTGGGAACTGCTTGCCACTTCCTTGGGGCCTCTGATTTTAGGTTCTTTTACATCTTGTTTAAATTCCTGAGGCATTGTGAGTCAGCTAAGATGTTATAAACCAAATCCTATTTTCCCATTTACTTTTTCACCTTAAGATATTTCATCTTCATTCTTATCCTGCCTCTCAAATCCGTAATCATTAAACCCTTTAGTGATCTGGGGCAGTTCCTGTTTAAAGAAGCTCTTTGCCATCTATGTATAGACAGCGTTGAATAGCCACAGTTATGTCTGTCTGTCTTACATATTTAAATTTTAAATATGGGCTTTAAAAAATGGGGTACAGTTTTGTTTCATTCTGCCTCCAAATCCTCTCCAAAATTGGCTGGCCCTTCTTAGCTTGAAAGCTGTTTTCTCCTGTTTCTTTTTTCTCATCTGGATTGTGGATACATTTCACTAGCACCATTTCTTCTCACTTGGGCCTTAGGAGGGCCTTAGCCAAATTCCAGCCGGTGCCTCCCTCTACCAGTGATGGCCATGTGATCTGAGACATTCTCCTCCATCTTCCTTTTGTGACATAGGAAGGTAGAATTCCGTATGATGTACGAATTCCATAGTTTTGACCTCCCAAATACTCGTCTCTCTTTCCTCCTCTCTGCAAATGTTGACTTTCAATCTTCTTTTCTCATCATTACTGTTATCATTCTGTTTGCCGGAATCTCTTTGCTGTCTGGTGTGCTGTGTTCCACATCTGGACCCCTGCAAGAGCTGCTTCATCGGTCTGTCCAAAGCATATGACATGGTATTTGGATTGATAAACTACCACAGAAAATAGTAGAGGTGGGAGAGGTTGGGGAGAAATTTCTTGGAAAGAAAAGCGCTCTCTGGGCTGGGTGTGGTGGCTTACACTTGTAATACCAGCACTTTGAGAGGCCAAGGTGGGCAGATCACTTGAGGTCAAGAGTTTGAGACCAGCCTGGCCAACATGGTGAAACCACATCTCTACTAAAAATACAAAAATTAGCTGGTAATCCCAGCTACTCGGGAGGCTGAGGCAGGAGAATCGCTTGAATTTAGGAGGTGGAGGTTACAGTGAGCCAAGATCGCACCACTGTACTCCAGCCAGCCTGGGTGGCAGAGCAAGATTCCATCTTAAAAAAAGAAAAAAAAAAAAAAAGAAAAGAAAGAAAAGGAAAGCACTTTATGGAAAACCCTTGACCCAGCTGACAAGAGACCCAATCACTGTGACTTCCTCCCCAGAGAGTCCTAAATATATACTCAGGAATGACCAGAGCAGGCCTTTTCCCTCTTTCCAATCTTCCTCTGAGTTAAGCCCACCCCAGCACCCTTCCTCACAGGCACACTGGGGGCCAGCAGTACCATCACATACACGCCTGGGGGTCACTAACAAGCGGTCTCTGAAGTCTTCAACCTCTCCCAATTCCTCTTGGGTGTCTTCACGTCATTCAGCCTGAGAGTCTCAGTGGCTCCTCCCGGATGAAAGGTGGAAGTGCCACCAAGATCCTGCTGGAAACCCTGTTATTAGCTGCCCATAAGACTGTGGACCGGGGCATTGCAGCATCTCAAAGGTAGGGAGGATCTGGACAAGAGAGAGCTCAGTCAGGTGAGCGTGAGATGGTGTGGATGGGGAATGGCAGGTCTAGACCCAAGGACTGGGCTGGTGGCAGTAAGATTGCAGCCCACCACGCCTCCCCTGGGAAAGGAGCTGGCGGGGACATGCTGTTGCTCCCACCACGTAGTCTCAAGAGTCCAGATTGTCTCTAGTGGATCCTGGATTCCTCAGGCCCAGACCTAATCCCTGAGCCTGCCTGGAACCTCCAAAGCTAGCCTGGCTCCCGAGGGCCCTTTGATTTGGGGACCTATATGTTCCAGGTAACGTTTTAAGTGCTGGGAATATAGAAATGAACAGAAAAGACAATCCCTGGCTGGGTGCAGTGGCTCATGCCTGTAATCCCAGCACTTTCAGAGGCTTAGGCCGGTGAATCACTTGAGGCCAGGAATTTAAGACCAACTTGGCCAACATGATGAAACCCCATCTCTACTAAAAATACCCCCAAAATTAGCTGGGCATGGTGGTGTGCACCTGTAATCCCAGCTTCTTGGGAGAGTTGAGGCAGGAGAATTGCTTGAACCCAGGAGGCAGAGGTTCAATGAGTCAAGATCACTGCATTCCAGCCTGGGTGACAGAGTGAGATGGTGTAAAAAAAAAAAAAAAAAAAAAAGTCCCTATCCTCATGGTGCTACATTGTAGGGCAGTAAGAAAAACTAAACAAGACAATTTATTGCATGTTGGATAATAATAAGTGCTTTTATTTTTTTGTAACAGAGTCTTGCTCTGTCACCCAAATGGGGTGCAGTGGCGCAATCATAGCTCACTGCAGCCTTGAACTTAAATGAGCACCTCCTGGTGATTTCTTTTTTCTTTCTTTATTTATTTTCTTTTTTTTTGAGATGTCGTCTCACTCTGTCCCCCAGGCTGGAGTGCAGTGGCGGAATCTTGGTGCAGCTCCTACATCAGCCTCATGAGTAGCTGGGACTACAGGCACATGTCACCACACCTGGCTAATTTTTGTATTTTTAGTAGAGATGGGGTTTCACCATGTTGGCCAGGCTAGACTCAAACTCCTGACCTCATGATCCACCCGCCTCAGCCTCCCAAACTGCTGGGATTACAGGCGTGAGCCACCAGGCCTGTCCAATTTCTTTATTTTTTTGAGATGGAGTTTTGCTCTTGTTGCACAGGCTGGAGTGCAGTTTCACAATCTTGGCTCACTGCAGCCTCCACTTCCCAGGTTCAAGGGATTCTCTTACCTCAGCCTCCCAGGTAGCTGGGATTACAAGCACATGGCACCATGCCTGGCTAATTTTTGTATTTTTTAGTAGAGGCGGGGTTCACAATGTTGGCCAGGCTGGTCTTGAACTCCTGACCTTAAAGTGATCTGCCTTCCTCAGCCTCCCAAAATGCTGGGATTATAGGTGTGAGCCACCATGCCTGCTCCCTCCAGGTGATCTCTGTGAATACTCACTGAAGTGTGAGAATCTCAGTCCCAGTTTTATTATTCAGAGCCATCCTCACAGTGGGCCTGCTCTTCAGTAGGCCCAGCACTGGGGCCCCCACTGTTTATGTGACACCAGGATTGGGCTCCCGAGTAGTAGAGCACAGAGGGCACAAAGCCATTGGAAGGCACCCCAGTGCTCAGCCACGTTTCCCTTTACAACAGGGTGGAGGGTGGGGTGGGGTGCTTCCCTCTTTGGACTAGGAAGCCAAAGTGATGGTGATGATTGTCGTTATTAGTTTTTGGTTAATGACAATAATGAAAAATTGTTGTCACTCAGCTTGGAGTGCAGCAGAGCAATCATAGCCGTAACCTCCTACTCCTGGGCTCAAGTGATCCTCCCACCTCGGCCTCCCAAGTAGCTGGGACTGAGGTGCATGCCACATGCCCAACTAGTTTTTGTATTTTTTGTAGAATTGGGGTCTTGTTATGCTGTCCAGGCTGGTTGCTAACTCCTGGCATCAAGCAATCTCCCTGTCTCAGCCCCCCAAAGTGCTGGATGACAGGCATGAGCCACTATGCCAGCCTAAAGTGATTATTGTTATATCCAAAGCTCTTATTTTGTAACAGGGAAAAGTAGGCCAAAAAAAGGAAAGTGATTCTGGAAAGTCACACAAATGATTAGCGGGCTTGGGATGGGCCTGGAAGGCATGAGGACTGATGAGTTAGACACACTGTTTATGGTTTTTGTTGTGTGTTTTTTATTTTATTTTATTTTGAGACAGAGTCTCTCTCTGTTGCCTAGGCTGGAGTGCAACGGTACGACCTCGGCTCACTGCAACTGCTGCCTCCTGGGTTCAAGTGATTCTCCTGCCTCAGTTTCCAGAGTAGCTGGGATTACAGACGCCTGCCACCACCCCCTGCTATTTTTGTATTTGTATTTGTATTTATTTATTTATTTAGAGACAGAGTTTCACTGTTGTTGCTCAGGCTGGAGTGCAAAGGAGTGATCTAGGCTCACAGCAACCTCTGCCTCCTGGGTTCAAGTGATTCTTCTGCCTCAGTGCTGGGATTACAGATGTGCCCGCCAGAATGTTTATTTTATTTTTAAAATAATTTAAAACTCATAGAGCAGGGCCAGGCACAGTGGCTTATGCCTGTAATCCCAGCACTTTAGGAGGCCAAGGGGGGGGGGGCTGATCATGAAGTCAAGAGTTCGAGACCAGCCTGGCCAACATGGTGAAATCTATCCCCTCGAAGAATACAAAAGTTAGCCGGTTGTGGTGGTGCATTCCTGTAATTGCAGCTACTCAGGAGGCTGAGGCAGGAGAATTGTTTGAACCCAAGAATCAGAGGTTGCAGTGAGCCAAGATCGGACCACTGCACTCCAAGTTAGGTGATGGAGCCAGACTCCTTCTCAAAAGAAAAAAAAAACCTCACAGAACAGGCTGGGCATGGTGGCTCAGATCTGTAGTCTCAGCACTTTGGAAGGCTGAGGCAGCTGGATCACCCGAGGTCAGGAATTTGAGACCAGCCTGGCTGACATGGTGAAACCCTGTCTCTACTAAAAATTCAAAAAATAAGCTTGGTATGGTGCTGGGTGCCTGTAATCCCAGCTACTCAGGAAGCCGAGACAGGAGAATTGCTTGAACCTAGGAGGCATAGGTTGCAGTGAGCCAAGATCATGCCACTGCACTCCATCCTGGGTGCCAGAGTGAGACTCCATCTCAAAAACACATTTAAAATGAATAAATAAAACTCATGGAACAGTTGCAAGAAGCATTGCACTAAGAACTTGCGTATACTCTTCATCTAGGGACCCCATTCAAGTTTTGCCAACTGTCCTAAGAATGACCATTACAGCAGAAGGATCCAACCCAGATCCTGGGTTGCTCTTGGTTGTCATATCTCTTTAGTCTCCCATCTAAAGTTCCGCAGTCCATTCATGACCTAAATGACCTTGATGCTCTTAACAGACTGTAGTATCCCAGGCAAGTTAATTTGCAGACAGTCCTTCAATTCAGGTTTGTCTACTGTCTCATGATTAGATTCAGGGGGTACACAGAACTGATGCTGTGGTCTTTTCACGGTATCCCATCAGGTGCGCATGGTGACATTGCCTTGACCCGTTACTGGCAATGTTAACTTTGAGCACTTGATTCAGATGGTATCTGCCAGGATTCCCTATTATACAGTTACTATTTGCCCCTTTTAATTAATAAGCATTTTATGAGGCGATACTATGTAACTATGTAAATATCCCCACTCCTCCTCTGAATTTTACCCACTAGTTGTAACATTTTATGAGGTTTCTTGCATGAAATAATTACTGCTATGATTGCTAAATTGTGGCTTTTAAATGCCATTATTTTTCCTACATGTATTCATCAGCATTAACTTGTGAGAAACAATTTTCTTTCTTTCTTTTTTTTTTTGAGACACAGTCTCCCTCTGTTGCCCAGGCTGGAGTGCAGTGGCGCGATCTCTGCTCACTGCAACCTCTGCGTCCTGGATCAAGCCATTCTCCTGGCTCAGCCTCCTGACTGGCTGGGACTATAGGCACCCACCACCACAACGGGCTAATTTTTGTGTTTTTAGTAGAGACGGGGTTTTGCCATGTTGGCCAAGCTGGTCTTGAACTCCTGGTCTCAAGTATTTCACCCACCTCAGCCTCCCAAAGTGTTGTGATTATAGGCATGAGTCACAGCTCCTTGGCAGCAACTTTCTCTTCTCCTAATTTGTTAAATCCTGGGCATGGTTACTCACGTGGGAGGCTGAGAGAGGA